TTTAGGTGAGATCATAGGAACATCCTGTCATTAATTTTGCTTGAGAATACTTGGTTATATATGTAAATTGTGCAGTTGAATCAGGTAAATCCAGCAGTTTTCAGATTATCCTGGATGTTTACCTAAAGAACTCCTTGTTAGTTGCAAGAATGTAGCCACTTTATAGTTCCTTTTATAGCATAACCTGCATATGGAACCAGCCCCAGGAAGTCTCATTTTGTACCGGGTGCAATAGCAGAGAATGACTTCTGCCAGTTAACTTAATGGTAAATGGATAGACTTAACAGGATCCTTATCCAAAAGTTGTAGGAGGCTTTTGGCATTTGACTATTAACCTTTTCTATTTCCATTATAGAGTATTTCAAGTAGGGGGAAGAAGGCATCTGGTTAGTGGAAAAAAATAGAAAGTCAGTGTCATACAAGTATATATCATGTATTCTGTATGTATATATCATAGCTTCTTTAATTGCAATACTTCTGTGAATATTTATTGTGTATTTCAACGTTCTTGGCAACTTGGTGATGTTGGTTAGAAAGTATTGTTAACAGGATGATCATGAGTTTGATCTCGTACAAATTTATTATGGAGGAGGGGGGAATCCACTGATTTATGACCCAGAGATATTCTGGCAGCCCTTCCAAGACAGAAGTTTATGTATAGGAGTGACAGACAGACGAGGGGGTAGAGGGAAGAGAATGTGCTATGTGCAGAGCTTGTCGAGACTATATGATCGGGAATAAGCTCAAAGCACATCCCTACAGAGGGTGGACAGCCCGCAGGAACAGCCCCTGTAAACAGCACTCACTGGCTGCCTGCAAAGGTCTCTTCTCCTTGTTCCAAACTGAGGCTGTAACTGTTGAGTCTACCACATAGCCATCTTTTCATGAGGTTCAGAGTATGCGTCAGTTGCATACTCTGAGACTGTAGAACGCAAAAAGGCACAGTAGGGGGTTCTAAGTTCTCAGGAGCTACAGCAGAAAGTTATCTCATGTGCCTTTTCAAGTGAGTAGAAACTCAAATGGAAGGACAGAGATCACAATCCTCCACTGAAAATTAGGGGACACATTTACAAGGAGAACCCCGCCTGGGTGGGAATCCTGTATCAGATATTGTCACCTGAGAGCAATAGAGAGGTTTAGGCCAGCAGACTTGTTCCTCTAAAGTGTGCATTTGTCCCTTCTCTTCTTGGTGACAGGACAGAAGTCTTGGTCGTTGCAGAAAAACACCAAACTGAATATTACTTTTAGAATTAAACACGCACAAGGCTTGCCTTTAGTGCAGCTAGAAATTGGATGGAAGGGAGTCCTGGAATGTACAAGTTGTAGCAGATTTTTATTGAGCTATATTATACATTATATGTAATGTATTATATACATTTATATAACTATAATTATATAACATTATTATTTATGTATAATATATTAATTAATGCATAATATAATTGTATATAATTATTATTGTAAATAACCAGCCCTGCTGGCCTAGTGGTTAAGATCCTGCACTTTCCCCACCTTGGCTGTGTTCATTTCCTGGTCAGGGAAACCACACCACTGTCTGTCGGGGGTCATACTATGGCGGCTGCGTGTTGCTATGATGCTGAAAGCTCTGCTACCACTGTTTCAAATACCAGCAGCGCCCCCATGGTGGACAGGTTTCAGTGGAGCTTCCAGACTAAGACAGACTAGGAAGAAGGATCTGGCCACCCACTTCTGAAAAAATTGGCCATGAAAACTCTATGAATAGCAGCAGGGCATTGTCTGATGTAGCGCTGAAATGTGAGAGGATAGTGCAAAAAGACAGGGCAGGGTTCTGCTCTGCTGTCCACAGAGTCACTGAGAGTTGGAATCCACTCCACATCACTAACAACAAATATATATTAATAGATTATATAATGTATAATATTATGGAAGATATCTAATATTATACAATATGTAATATTATGTATAGATCTTTTCAAATATGTATATAATTTGCTCGAAGGACATGATTCATTGAGTTTTTTGAGAGAAAATAAAATTGAACAATGTGAGGTACATATGCACTGTATGAGACTGGAGAAAGTAAATTACAAGAAAACTCTAATGTAACAATGTGCATTTTAATTTCATCAGATTGCGAAGTAAAATAAACCTTTCATGTTTATAAAAGAAAGAAAGTAAATGGATAGAAAGCTGCCCCTTAACACGCTGGGCATCCTAGGATGTGCCTGTAATTGCTGTATAAAGATGTGGGAATTCTGTGAATATACTGATACTGTAAAATGCCAGCACCAAGTAATATGAGGCAAAATCTCTTAGAGCAAAGGTCTGGTAACATTTTAAAAGTAACCTCCCGTTTGGAAATATTTTTAAATGATCAAGTAATTTGTTACTGTTTTATTTAAGAGTTGGAAAACCATTGTGACTCCCCGGAATTTGGGTTAAATATGGCTCATCGTAGTGCTGGAGGCTGAGTCGAGTGGTTCCTTTTCCGCCGTGTTCCCTGGTGGTGGGCAGCCATGGGAGTCCCAGGCAACGTGGGATAAAAGCCTTTGCTTGACTTGGTGGTGGAAATGGACTTTCTTTCTGCAGGCCCCTATGGCCAACTCAGCAAATACTGGTTTCCCAACACAGTGGGTTGCTGTGGAAACCAACAGCTCTAAAAACCAAAGGGAAAGAAAAAAATTAAAATCCCAGAACAAAGGCCAATTTGAGGGAATATGAAAGGGAATGAAAAACGGTCAGAGGGGTCCAAAAACGTCCCAGAAACAAACCAAAAAAAAAAAAAAAAAAAAGTGTCCACAAACTTCACTTTCCCTTCCAAGATGAAGCCCAAGTTTGTTGGAATAGATGTGATAACTGAGAGGTGTGGGCTGTTCCAGGAGCAGGTGGAAGTTGTTCTAGCTCTGTTCCCAGTGAAAACCACAAAGGACTCTATGATCTGGAGAAGCACATATCAGCACGTGATGGTAAGAGAGAGATGGAGAGTGTTGGTTTTGGAGTTTGGATGAGAAGTTATAAAATAAATGCATTCTGTCATTTGTAGAAAAATAACTAAAGGTGTAAATTATTGCTGGAAGGTGAAGGGGGAGAAGGAAAAACAAGGCATATTTTCCACGTGGCCTCTTGTTGTTTGCAGGCAGTTCTGTTAAATCCTGATTGGGGGGCCGGCCCTGTGGCTTGGTGGTTAAGTGTGCGCGCTGCGATGCTGGCGGCCCGGGTTCGGATCCCGGGTGCGCATCGAGGCACCACTTCTCCGTTCGTCCTGAGGCCGAGTCCCACATGCAGCAACTAGAAGGATGTGCAGCTACGACACACAACTATCCACTGGGGCTTTGGGGGGAAAAAATAAAATAAATAAAATCTTTAAAAAAAAAAAAAAAAATCCTGATTGGGGTTCTTCGTGCGCCTGTGAACTCTGTACCGTGACTCCTTCCTCCTGTCCCTGCCATTTCCTTGCTCTGAACTTGCTACTTCGTGGTCCCTTCTCTCAAGCCAACAATTTGGGGAAGGCTTGTTGCATTTACTTCTAAATCTGTGGCAGATAGAAAGGAAATGACTAAAAGATAATGCTGGCCTGAAAGATAGTGTTTAGTTTTCTACCCACAAAGCAGATGCTCTTTGTACTACTTAAAATGGGCTAGTTTGTGCCCACAGAACCAGCTCTTTGAGTTTGCCAAGAGCAAAGGAGCTCTGAATCATAGCAGAGGGAGAATTCCTGAGCGCTGGTTTCTTCCTTCTTGACCCTACTGCTGGCTGATGAAAATTTGAGAAGAATGCTTTAGAGGCTGTGGCTGAATTCCTGATTGTGAAATAATCACTGAGTAAGTGTGTGTAGTGAGAAGAGGCCTGAGCACAGGTCCACTCACCATGAGCAGGCAGAATTGGAACCCGTGATAGGTACTATGTTAGTCAGAATTCTCCAGAGAAACAGAACCAATTGGATGTATGCAGTCATGCACCACATAACATTTCAGTCAACGACAAACCGCATATGTGATGCTCCCATAAGATTAGTACTATATAACCTGGGTGTGTAGTAGGCTGTACCATCTGGGTTTGTGTAAGTATACTCTGTGATGTTCACACAATGACAAAATCGCCTAACAACGCATTTCTGAGACTGTATCCACCCGTTGTTAAGCAATGAATGACTATATATGTGTTATGAGAGGTTCGGGGATTTGATCGGAGACGTAAAAGACACTTTTCACTCCAAACAAATGGACTGAAGGTATATTTTATTATATAGAGCATAGTAAAGACGACAGTCTGCAAACAGATCCGAATAGCTCAAATATTAAGAGGGAAAAAACATCAGCTTGACTGGAAAGGGAAAACATCCACATCGGCTAAAGAGAAATGACACAAATCAACCCAAAAGAGAAACACCAGGTTGACCGAAAAGAGAACACATCAAATCAATTACTTCATATCAAATCAATTACTTCACATCAAATCAATTACTCACAACATTCACGCCCCACTGCAGGGAGAGTCTTGTCAATCTACGCGGCTGGGCAAGGATCACACGTCCTGGGCAAGGTGTCCCTCCCATAGGTGGAACTCTCATCAGGTCTCAGTTTCCAGCAGTTTTTATACCATCAATAATTTTCAGAGTAAGCAATTACAGAGTTTGCAGAGCAAGCATTTAGTGTTTCCATGCACAAATGGTTATCAGTGGCGTACGTGCACTGAGCCCCCTGGCTAACGTCCCAGCCCAGTAGTTGTGTACGTGCATTGTTCTCTTTGGTTATCGTCTTAGCCTGGCACAGATGGCCAGTCCATCCCGTGCTACGACACTCCAAGAGCCTTGAAATGTTACAACTTGCAACTCTCTCCTTGAGAGAAAGGCCTCTTCCCGGGAAAAGGCCAGTTCCCACCACACAGAAGGCAGCTTTGTATTTCTTTGTGTGCTGGTGGCTATAGGTCAATGGAGCGGCCAAACATGGCTGTACTCATGTCAAGACAATATGTGTATATAGAAAGAGATTTATTATAAGAAATTGACTCATGGGAGTATGGAAGCTGACATGTCTCAAGATCTGCAAGGTGAGTCAGCAAGCTGGAGACCCCAGAGAGTCAATGGTATAGTTCCAGCCCAATGGCTGGCAGGCTTGAGAGCCAGCAAGAGCCAGTATTTCAGTTTGAGTCTGCAAGCAGGAAAAAGCTGATGTCCCAGTTCAAAGGCTGTCAGGCAGGAGGAATTCTCTGACCTAGAGGGAGGACAGCCTTTTTGTTCTTTTCAGGCCTTCAGCTGATTGGATGAGCCCCACCCACATTAGGGAAGGCAATCTGCTTTACTCAATCTACCAATTTAAATGTTAATCTTATCCAAAAACACCCACACAGAAACTTCCAGAATAATGTTTGACCAAATAGCTGGGCATCTTGTGGCCCACTGAGGTTGACTCATAAAAATAACCATCACAGATACTGAAAAGGAAGGCCAGAGGGTGGGAGGAGAACTGAAAAGGAAGGCCAGAGGGTGGGAGGAGAACCAGGTGGGTGCAGTTCCAAGGAGATGGTCTTCAGCCATACAGTGTCATGCCAGGAAGCACAGAACCTGAGGAGTGCAGACACCACTACCCACTCTAGTTTGTCTTCCAAATCAAAATCCAGCACGATGGCATGAGGTTAGCAGAGCCAAGGCCCATTCCTGCATCATAGCTACCAGGGAGGCTGGGAAAGCAAGTTTCTGGCTTCCACCTTAGGCCAAACATGTGATGTGGGAACATACTCACATGGAGGAAGGCTGTTCAGAAGATGCTGGGTTCACCACCAAGACTCATCTTGCCACGCTACCCATCCTTCCAGTCTCAGCTTGAATTTTCATCTCTTCCAAGAAGCATTCTCCCAACTCGATAAACCATAACCAGGGCCAATAGTCATGCAGCACGTACCCATATAGCCAACCCATTCCAGTTCAACGGTATGGCTCATGGGTACCCCTTTTTAAACCTTTTAATGTCACCCCTACATCACCTCTATGTCTATAGATAGTTTCAGATCTTTTTTCTTTCTTTCTCTCTCTTTGTTTTCATTTGTAAACTCCAGACCTTATTAGTCTCTTCTTAGCTATGTTTTTTACTCTATCTTACCCAGTTTCATCCTTTTTGTACTCTGGCACTTGGATTGGTCTCACCTCCTCCCTCCTCACACACTGGCCCCCCCAAAAAAAACCTGTAAACTGCTTGAAAACTGGAGCCATATCTTTTTTCCTTCTTCTTTTTTAAATCTCACACAGTACCTAGTATCATACTAAGCATACAGTAGCTGATCAATAAATATTTCTGATTAAGTACAACTAATTAGTTTTCTGAATTGTTGAATGCTTCTCAAATGAATTTTGATAGTATCTATTTAAAACAGTAATGAATAAGAAATAAATAGAGCAACAACAAAAACCAGGGATGTTTAGGCCTGTACCAGATGATGTCCAGAGAAGCCTGTTAGTTTCAGTGATTCATTCAACATATATTGAGTGCCTGCCATGTGGCAGACACTGTTCTCTGTGCTTGGGACACATGAATAAAGAAGAAAAAAGAAACAGACAAAATAGCTCTCTCAAAGCTTACATTCTGGAAGAGTCTGACAGTTGATAAACATGGAAATTATAACATGTTAGAATTGATAAGTGTCGTGCCTGAGGGAAAAAGCAGAGCAAGATAACATCAGAAGTGCAGGGTTAGGTCAGGATTGACATTTTAGGCGAGACGGTCAGAATTGTAAAAAAAAATTGTTTTTAGACAATCAGAGAAAATTGAATACTTGCTGGATATGAGATGATATAAAGAGGTTGTTATAGGGATTGGATATGATAATGGCATTTTGGGTATGCTTTTTTAAATTCCTTATATGTTGTAAACTGGAATGTTTGTGGGGAAGTACTGTGACCTTGTATGATGTCTGGGGTTTGCTTCAAAATGTTCCAGCAAAAAAATGGGGGGTGGGGGGAGGGATGGAGGGAGGGAGGGAGGAAGGAAGGAAGGGAGGGAGAAAGGAAGGAAGAAAAGAGGGAAAAAAATCAAGCGGGGGAGAATAAATAAGATAAGAACGGTAGAAAGTTGATATTTGAAACTTGTTTATCAGTGCGGGGGGTTCCCTCATACTAGTCTTTCTACTTCCATATGTAGTCTAAAATTTCCATAATAAAAGTTTTTAAAAAATAGCTAGTGGTCAGTAAAGGCCACATTCAGGAGGTGACATGTAAGCAGAGACTGAAGGAGGTGAGGGGGTGAGCTGTGTGGATGGGTGTCGGGGGAGAGGGTGCCAAGCAAGGAAACAGTCAGTGCAAAGCGTGTTCAGAGCCCTGGCCTCCTCCATTCCCTGATTGGGGGAAGGTGCAGGTAATGAGGGCAGGGAAGTGATTTGGGTTGGGGGTGGAGAACACAGAGAGCCTTTGAAGTCACTGTGAGGACTTCAAGTGAAGGTCAGATCTGTAAGGGCTGCTGAGACACGGCTTCAGAGTTGCACTCAGATGTATTTTCCTTAGGGGTTCATCGAACCATTTGGATACCCGTGATTTCTTTACTCAGATTCGAAGATGAGAGTTTGTAATGTATTATCCACGCTGTCCAATAGAACTTTCTGGGGTGATGGAAATGTTCTATCTGTGCTGTCCAGTATGGGAGCCACTAGCCACATATGGCTGTTGAGTGCTTGCAGTGTGCCTAGTGTGACTGAGGAGCTCAATTTCTAGTTTAATTTCATTTTAATTAATTTAAACTTAAATGTGTATGCCCACATGCGGCTAGTGGCTCCTGTATTGGACAGCTCAGTATTAGGGGATGGTTGGCTGCACTCTGGCATTTCCCTCCACGCTGGGTTTTATTCAGTTCAAGCAACCAGGTCATTCCCACCTCCGGGCGTTCGCCTCTCTGCCTGCGCCTCTTTGCCTGGCTGGTTCCTGTGTATCCTCAGGCGTGAGCTTAATGACACCTCGTCAGAAGGCCTTCCCTGACCACCCAGTTGAAAGTAGGTCCCCCCTCCATTATGCTGTCCTGTGGTACCCAGTTTTCCTTGGAGGCATTCTCCCAGTTGGTAATTATACTTGGTAATTATTTAATATCTAAAACTCCTCAAGGTCAAGAGTCTGATCCCCATTGTCCGTTGTCTACCCACGTGGTCAGCCTACAATGAATACTGACTGAAATGGAAATAGAGAAGGAGCAGTGTCAGTGTATATACAGTTTTATATGGCAGAGATGAGGGGCCTCCTGTCCAGTGTGGGGAGAGGTTGGTGAATCAGGAGCAGTGTTCTTGAATAAACCTTAACCAGGACTTTTAAAGGTTGAATAGCAGTTAGCAACATGACGCTGAAGTTGTGGAAAGAAATTTCCCACAAAGATAAGAAACAGCAGCAGCAGGAAGGAAGGGAAGAAATGGGGAAACTCTGGGACAGTGTCTGGGGGTCTGCGGGCAGTGTGTGGGGGTCAGTTGGGGCCTGATTGTGGAGGACCTTGAAATGTGTGCTGCAGGTCAGGGGTGGGCAGGTTTTGTCTTGAAAGGGCCAAAAGTAAATAGTTGAGGCTTTGCAGGCCATATGAGCTCTGTCCAAACCTTCTGAACTCCACCGTTGTGATGCGGAAGCTGCCTTAGACAGTATGTAAATGGGTGTGGCTGCGTGCCAATAAAACTTGGTTTATGGACACTGAAATTTGAATTCCAGATAATTTTCATGGGACATGAACTGTTACTCTTTTGATTTTTTTTTTCAATCATTTGATAGTGTCAAAACCATTCTTAGCTCATGGACCATACGAAAACAGGCAGCCAAGCACATTTGGTGTTTGGCCACATTTGGCGGGGGGCACTAAAGGGTTTGAAGGGGGGCAGGAAGTGGTCAGATCGGTATTTCAGATAGCCCCGTCTGGCTTCAGTGGGGTTTCAGGGGCCGGTCTGAAGACAGTGGCAGTTTCTGTGAAGAGGCTGAGCAGTGTAGTCTGGGCGATAGATGGTGAGGGCCTGAAATAGGGCAGTGTTAACAAGGATGGGAAAGAAAGGCCTGCTTTGAGATAAATATTCTGGAATCAAAATTAGCAGAACTTGGTGATGGACGTGCAGGGTAAGGAGTAAAAGAATGATGTCCCAGGTTCAATTTAATCATCAGGTGCCCCAGCTCAGCAGGATCCGTGAGCATTCTGGCCAGCAAAGGAACGTGGCACATCTTAATGCATATGTAGGTCTGGGGGCATTTATAGGGTCTTCCTTTTATCTGCAAGATGAGAGTAGCATTAGTAAATCGTGCCTCACCTAGTCATAAGATTACTCGCCTGGTAGGAATAATTTTCTTTGCTGTTGAATGGATAACCTAATTCTAGATGTTACTCTATAAAAATGATACCGCAGTGGTCTGTAATAATTACCTGGCCATATTGACATCTTCCCCCATCCTATCCTATCCAAAGAAGCAGCTAAATAATCTCTTTCAAAATATACAATTGCAGAACATAAACTAGGCTTTCCGTATTCGGAGAAATTCAAGTGGTAGAATCAGGATGTTGATTATGGTAGAACTCCCTCTTTCTCTGTTTCTTCATGGATCCTTTAACTTTCTCCCAATCTCAGCTGGTTTTGCCTTCTCAGCAAACAGTGAAGAGAGAGCAGAAACCTTGTCATCCCGACTGTTAATAAATGTTGTATTACCATAAAACGACATAAATCATCAATGCAGCCCTCCAAGCCACCTTCCCACTTGCCCTGTTCTAGAGGATTTCTGTTATGTGAATGTAATGAAAGATGAGTTCATTTATGTCATAACTTCGCACACCATCTGGGGACCAGGAAGACCAGGTTCAGTAAGAAAACACATGTGTGGTGTACATCTTCTGAATTTGCATGAAGATAACACTGATTAGATTGGAAGGAATTGACTAAATGTATTCTGTAATGGCATTTCCTTGATTTTCATGATGTTGATTTTATTCCTCTTCGGCATTCGTTTTCTTCTATAGTATGAAGTAGCCAAGTTCCGTTTCTGTAACATTTTTTTTTTTCTGTCTACAGGGTTTTGAGAGATTTATCTGGTACAGATCTACAGTGCCTAGGTCTAGAATTCTTTATCTGTTCTTTATGGTCGTCTAGTCCAGACATGTGTTGTCATACGTGTATGAAAAAATGGGTGAGAAAATGATTGACAACTGAAATTTGCAGTGTTGAAAAGGTTGCTTTAGTATCCTAAGATAGTGGGCAAGTTACCAAGGTGGAGGTTCTTGAACCAAAAGAAATTCTTCTCGACCTGTTGTCCCAGTTGAAGAAGAGCTTCGGACATACAGTTATTACCTCCTGAGAGGATTGTCTTGTCTCTCTGTTTTTGTTTTATTCCTTTCTTCCCTCCAGCTCCCTTCTCTGTGCCCCTCCTGGCACTTTATGACCAAATGCTTTCAAGCATAGCGATTGGAATTATGTAATGGTCATAGCGTGTGTTTTGTTTCCTTTGTCAGGCCTTACGCTAAATATCTCCACCTGAATGTCAAGACGTGCGTTGTTATCATCCCCAGTTTATAGATGAGGAAACTGAGACCTGGAGGGCATCAGTAACTTGCCCAGGGCCACATGGCTAGAACTTGGTGAAGCTGAGATTGAAACCTAGAACTCTAGAAGATGTGCCACTGGGCAGTTCCCAGCTCTGCTGCCCGCTCCGCTCACTATCAGGCACTCCCCCAGCCAGCCTCATTGGTGATCTCTCCTCTGAGCCAGGCTGCAAAGGTTCTGTGAATGCGAGCCTCCCTGTCACCTGGTAATTCTTTGCTGTTCCTTGCCCCCACCTCTCTCCCCCAAGTCACCAATAGGGCTTTCAGATCTGAGGCAGCTCAAAATGTATGGCAGGGAGTGCCTGTGAGTGGCCAAGTGGACGTATGTCGCTGAGCACCATCCACTCCCTTTACACCTAAGCAAAAGGGGTTTATTGGAGCAGGATACACTTCTGATTGTTCTGGAACATCGTTCTGGAATTGGTGTCCTTTGATGTCCACCATGATGCTGGAGTCTGGTCCACCACCATCTCTTCCTGGGTTATTACAGAGGCCTCTTAACTGGATGCTTAGTCCCCAGTCTTGCCTCTCCTGGGTCGGTCCTTCACCCAGAGCCAGAAGTTTCTGTAACAAATTGGATTTCCACTCCTCTGTGACTTCCCATTGCCCTTGAGATAGAGAATGATCCTTTTAGGTCACTTCTAAAGCCATGAATGATCTGGCGCCTACTTGCCTGTCTAGCCTTCTCTTTCACTAAGCCTCGTACTCCTCACAGTCTCCATCCAGCTTTCAGAACCTGTTTCTGTTTCTCCAGGAAGCATGGCTTTTTTTTTTTTGCCTCTGAGCCTTTGCACATGCTGTTCCATCAGTACTCCCCTCATGCCTGCACAACATGTCCCCGCAGGCATAGCACCTGCTTCTCTGCTCACTTTTCTTCACCACTGTAGTTTGCTCAGTTAACAATTCTAGGCACAGAGTAGCAGCTCAGAAAACATCTCTTGCATGAATAAATGAAAATTATCCTTTTTTTTTTTTTTTTGACTGAGGAAGACTCGCCATGAGCTAACATCTGTTGCCAGTCTTCTCCCTTTTTTTTTTTTGCTTGAGGAAGATTCGCCCTGAGATAACATCTGTGCCAATTTTCCTCTATTTTGTGTGTGTGACGCAGCCACAGCATGGTTGATGAGTGGTGTAGGTCCGCACCTGGGATCCAAACCTGTGAGCCCAGGCTGCCAAAGAAGAGTGCGCCGAACTTAACCACTACACCCAGGGGCCAGCCCCCATTTTAATTTTTTAACGTCAATTTGAATCCATTCATTTCCCACATTCATTATCTGTTTTTGCCGATATTACTAACTCAACTTCATCAGTCTTTTCAAATGTCTGCTTTTAATCCTTTTGTTCTTCTCACCTTCTCTTCTCCCACTCTTCTGGTCCTCCCCTTTAAAGATATTTTGGACCACTTTTTGGACTAGTCTTCACGATTACCAGCACAGCGAGCCTGGGTTGCCCGTTTCCATGTCACCAGGACTGTTGAAGAATATGGCTGCAAATCTTAGAGCCTGCAGGGTCCTTCTGGGGCAGCCCAGCCTTGTTTGTTTGGGCTGTGTTTGCCAGCAACGCTGGGAGGGATAAAAGAGTATTGTGTTTGTTGCACAACGTCTTAAAGGGATAGACTTTTTCTCTCAATTATGTGTTGGTGCGAGCAGGGAGGAGCCAGAGGAAAGCAGTTGGTGACGGGCATTGGTTTTGAAGAAAATAGGAAATCGTGTAAAGTAAAAAGGGGTCTCTAAGAAGAAAATTTTTCCTGGTTAAAATGATTCCTATTTTGGATGTAGATCTAGATTTTCTTAGCCTATCCCACTTTCTACCCCCTATCGCAGTTATAATAGAATCACTGTTGAAGTGGCCCCATTAATAGCAGCTGTTCTGTGTCGCTTTCTCCTTCTTCCAGAGGTCACGCTGAAGGTCCACATCAGTGACGCCAGCACCCATCAGCCCGTCCCCGACGCGCTCATTGAGATTTTCACCAACCAGGTGTCCATCGCCTCTGGCACCTCGGGGACAGATGGCGTCGCCTTCGTCAAGTTCCAGTATAAGCTGGGCAGTCAGTTGATCGTCACCGCCACGAAGCATGCCTACGTGCCCAACTCTGCCCCGTGGAAGCCAATCCGATTCCCCGGTAAGGTGGTCTTAACCTTTCTCTGAACAGAGCTCGTGGTCAGGAAGTGATGGAGTCCGATTTTGAAAGTGAAAGTCAGAGAATCAGAAAAATATTGGTTTAGTCTCGACTTTTTGGGCCTGTTATAGGAAGGAAAGGTGGGATCTGGCATGAAGCTGATTGGGCTCCCCTTTATTCTACGCACACAGTGGAATCAAAGCCTTAGGGTGTCTTCTCACTTCCCCAACGTGCTGTTTTGTACCTTATTGATTATAACTAGCAGGATGGGATCGAGGCAGTGCTCTGGAGCGGAGCTTCTTCCCTCAGTTCTGTGGGCCTGAGAGCAAGGCTGGCCAAAGAAGTGGGGAGGGATGGCGAGACTGTCTTCTTCTTTTCCCTGTCTTACCTGCTAAGGAAAAACACTCCTGTGTGTTTCCTCTGCTCTCAATACTCTTCTTCACTTCTGGCACCTCTGATCACCAGATGTGTGGGGTTTTTTCCATATATCAAGCAATTCTCGGATTCTCCAACACTAGCTGGGTGTCCTACAGTTTTACTCAATTCCAACACTATCTACATGGAGATAGCCTCAGATCACACTGGTTAAGTGCTCAGTCCCACAAGACTGTCTCCCTACCCCGATTCAGGTGCCTTTCCCAAGTCCAGGTTGTCACCTGTGCTTCTGACTGACCAGCTGTAGATCAGAGGTTCCCATGACCTCCTCCTTGGGGTCAATTAATTTGCTAGAGTGGCTCATAGAACTCAGAAAAACAGTTTACTTACTAGATTATTTACTGGTTTATTCCAAAGGCTGTTAAAGAAACAGGTGGGAGAGATGCATAGAGCAAGGTATGTGGGAAGGGGTGTAGAGCTTCCGTGTCTCCTCCAGGCCTCCCACCCTCCCAGCACCTCCACGTCTTCACCAACCTGAAAGTTCTCTGAACCCTGTCCTTTGGGGTTTTTATGGAGCCTGCATTACACAGGCATGATTGATTAAATCCTTGGCCATTCGCATTTGTTTCAGCCTCCGGCCCCTCTCCCTTCCCCAGCCCTGATCCTGTGGTTGTCTAGGGCCTTCTCAAAAATCACTACATGAACATAAACTGTGGAGTGGTTGAAAGGGGCTTGGTGTGAATAACAAAAGACACCTTTATCGCTCTCATCACTTAGGAAACTCAAGGGGTTGCGGAGCTCTGTGCCACGAACAGGACCAAGACCAAATACATGTTTCTTATTATAAATCACGATATTGCATTACCGGTCACCACTTCAAAGCGGTCTGCCCACAACAAGGGGCAAGGATGGTGCCTGAGACAGATTCAGCTTGGGATGGGGTAGGTGGGGAGTGGCAGATGGTCCCCCTTTGTCCCCGCACCTCAGGCTCCATCTAGTGCCTTGGCCACATCATCTGTCGGCACCAAGATTGGGTGAGTGACAAGGATGGGCTGAGAGCTGGAGGAGATGCTGCCTGGGTAGTGGGGGCTGTTGGGTTTTGGAAACCGACTGACCTGGGTTCTGGTTCCCAATCTGTGCTTGAGCCCCTCTAGCTTTGATGCCAGTTTCTGTAAAAGGGAGCTAATACCACCTCGTAGAGTCGTTCTGATTAAAAAGCAGTTAACATATGTCAACGACCTTACAGAGCCTAAAACATGGTAGGTGCTCGGTGAATATGTAGCACCCAGCACAGTATTTGGCAGTCCCAATGTTAGTGCTCATCGCTGTGCCACTGAACACTAGACGCACTCCACCAGGGTCCCTGCTGCCTCTGGGACATGTGGGAGCTAGTGCAGCTGCACCTGTCTTATGGAGCCCCAGCATCTACCCTCATTCACAAAACTTTCTTTAGTTCAATTTTTATTTATTAAGTATCTACTGTGTGCCAGACACGGCCCTAGGCACTGAGAATACAGCTCTAGAGACACAGAACTTGCCCCTAGGGAGTTTACGGTTTAGTTATGAAGTCAGCCACAGAAGCCATTTCCGTCTAATGGGATAAATACTCTGATGGATTTATATGTGCATGTGTACGTGGGGGGAGGCTGGAGAGGGACGTTAACCAGCTTAGATGAGTGAATGGAGGCTTCGTGGAGGGGATGAGTGGGGAGCTGGGTCTTGAGGATGAATAGATATTAGCATCAGGAGGTGCTTGTAAAAACATACAGGTTCCAGGACTCAGCCGTTCAGTCTGGGGAAGGTTGACCCAGGAATCTGCATTAACAAGCAACCCCACCCTTCTTGTGGACAAAAGTGTTCACTAAAGTTTGAGACCACTGCTTTGTGAGCTATGGAAAGTAGAGTTGATATAGATACAACTGAGGAGATCATTTAGGGAAATTTTAGAGAAAGGGGGATAAACCTGAGAAATATTCTAGAAAGCCTTGGGGAGTAGATGGGAGAGATATAAGGGAAAAGACGAATTAGAAGAAATGTGAATTGAATCACAGATTTCTGGCTGGTGATAGAGCAGATAGAACTGGTGGGCGATGGGGTTGGGAGACCTCCCTAAAGTTGATTCAATTGATGCAGGAGGTGAAAAGAAGCCCCCTTCCTCCTCCCTGTGCATCCCTTCTCCCCTTGCTCAGGCAAGATGGATGGAGGTGCTAGGGTGGGAGGGGAGATGGGAGGAAATGAATGGGTGTTGGGATCATGGTTGATGACGAGTTTAGGGTAAGGTAGATTGGATTTCAGCTGCCTTTGGGACACTAGATGCATTTGGCCTTTAGTTTGAAATGATCTGGGGTTCAAGAGGTTTGGGAGTCATTAGCAGTGTTGAGGTGAGAATCAAAACCATGAGGTCACCTGAAGAGTAGAGAGGAGTAGACGTGGGACAGAACCCTGAGAAGCCAACAAAGTAGGAAAGATGATCTTTATTAGGTTATATCTAAAGAAAATGTTTGACCCCCTCCTCTTTTCACACTGAGAAATCACTGGAAACAATGGAGAGAAGTTTTAAATGGTATCTGGACACCACAACTCCACCTTTGCTGGGAGAACAGCAGCACAAAGTACAGTCGATTCTCACTATTCACAGTAGTTATGTTCTGTAAAGTCATCACGAACATTGAATTAGTGAATACTGAGTCACTACTTCTAGGGGAAGTGCAGGGTTGAGCTCCTGTGAGCCTCTGGTCACGTTTTCGTCAGCTGATCAATACATCATCTTGTTTTATGTGTGCTCTGTTGAAAGACACCTCATTTAATATATATTTTTGTTCATTACTGTTGAACTCACAGCCAACAGCACTATAACTCATGCCTGAAGGAAGCTTATCTAGCCCATGTATTTTCTCTGCAAGACCCATCCCAGCCTTCCTGCTCTTACTAGACAGCATTTCAGTGCTATTGTTTGAGAAACAGTTTGCTAGAGCAGATGCCTTATGTACGGAAGTCCCAAATGTTGTAGGTTAGAAATGTTTATAAAGCACCCTGCGATGGGCACACACATCTTGAGAGACTGATCACAGGTGATTTCAGAGCTCAGAGACCCCCAGACCAGTCAGCGCAGAGGTTTTCAGGGCCCAGGGAGTGCCATTCAGGATGTGTGTGAGCTCTTGGGGACAGGGTGGTCCAGGTGTCTGCACTTGGAGAGGCAGAGAGTGCAACGCTAGCTAGTTTGGGGATGAGTTGTTTCCTGCAGGCAACATGGCTACAACAATCTGTCCTTTCTTCCTGACCATTAGGTATCCAGTGCCATTGGGAGAAGGGGTCATTGTTAAAGAAGGCTGTTTACCTTTGAAGTGGTTCTGCAAGATTTATCCGAGTTAGATTCCTCCCTTTAGTCCTGGCTCCCACGCGTTACCTGATGCTCCCTCCCAAACCTGGTGTGGATTTCTCTCCCAACTTTGAACTCCCAAGATGAATTCTTTCTTTATTCTTTTTTTTGTTTTTGTATTTGAAATATAATTCATGTACCATAAAATTCACCATTTTGAAATGTGTAATTCACAAGGTTGTACAACCATCACCGCTATCTAATCCCACGATATTTTCTTCACTCCCAAAAACCCCGTACCCATTAGCATTGAGTCACTATATCCCAGTCCCCCCCAGTCCCTGGCATCCACGAATCTCCCCTCTGTCTCTATGGATTTGCCTTTTCTGGACACTGCAGATAAATGGAATCCTACAATATGTGGCCTTTTGTATCTGGTGTCTCACTTAGCATAATGTTTTCATGGTCCATCCATGGTGCAGCATGAATCAGTACTTTATTCCTTTTTATGGGTGAACAATATTACATTGTATGAATAGATCACATTTTGTTTATCTGTCCATCAGTTGATGGATATTGGGTTGTTTCCACTGTTTGGCTATTATGACATGCTTCTATGGACATTTGTGTACAAGCTTCTGTGTGAATATGGATTTTCAGTTCTCTTGGAGTGGAATTGCTGGGTCAATGTTTAATATTTTGAGGAACCACCAGTTTGTTTTCACAGCATCAAGGTGCATCTTATCTTTCTCGTGGTACTTGCCACATTCTGCTTGTGATACAGCTCTTTGTCGTGTGTCCTAGTCCCTTTCTAATGTAGAGCCCTTGAAGGCACAGACATTGATCTTTTCCACAGGATCTAGCACTGGGCTTGCATATAGTGGCAGCTAAATAAATTGACTATGTAGAGAGTCTATGAAAAGAGGGGTCATGTCCCAGGCCAGCTCGCTGGTCCCCTCTGGCGCTATTAAGAGCCAGCAGTGCTAAGTAATTGATATTCTTAGCATCCGATGTTTCTCGTTCCTGATATTTTCCCAGAAAGTCACTTTACCTATGTAGGCCTCAGTTTCGTCCTCTTTAAACCTAGAGACTTGGGTTGGATGAAGTCTTAGGGGCCTTAGAATTTGAGTCTGAGTAGGTGGAGGACAGACCCTAGAGTTCAGATCCTGGTTTCAGTATTCCCCAGCCGAGGGATCTTGGACATGTTAATCCCTTATCTATAAACCCGTTTCCTTACCTGTCAAATGGGCGTGTAATACCTATTTCATAGAGTTATTTTGAGATTTAAATAAATTGCCAAATTAAAGCACTTAGAATAATGTCTGACATGTTAGCAAGGGTTCAGTAATGTTAGTGATTATTATTATTCCATAATACATTTATTTGTTTTCTCTTAAATTCGTGTTCTACCCAGAAACTTGTAGGCTTTGTGAATTTTTCAGTTGGAAGTCCAGGTACTTAAACAAGAATTTTAAAATAGCGCAAGTTCTATCATCTTATTAGTTCCCAGAATAGGGGGGAATATACCTTTATCATGAGGCACACATTAACCTGAGCCCATATTTTTAAAGTTTTTTTTGATGTTAATATCTAACTGTATACATTTACATTCATATAGTGTGTACGTTAATATAGTCCTACTGTGAAAAGATTCAAACACTTTACTAAAAACTTGTAATGAGTAAAAAACGGTTGACCGTTGTAGGGTAAACAGTTGTTATGTGAGAGATTGCAGCATTTGGAAGTCTTTTGCTAATCGTACTTAAAGGAAAAACTGTTTCCTTTCTCTCTACTCACAGTGCTTCTGACACCAGACCAGTGGAGTTTTTTTCTCAAACCAACCAGTTCTCCAACTCTCTGGACGCCAGCTGGGTGTCCTACAATGCAATTCAGTTCTGACAGTAACTACCCAGAGTTAGTGCAGACCCCACGGGTTAAGGGCTCAGTCCCACAAGCCTGCCCCCACTTCAAACGCAAGTCCCAGGTTGTCACCTGTACTTCTGACCAACCGGCTATAAATGGGGGGTTCCCACGACCCCCTCCTCGGGTTTGGTAATTTGCTGTAAAGGCTCACAGAACTCAGGGAAACACTTAACTTACGTTTGCCAGTTTATTCTAAAGGATATTGTAAAGGATACAGATGAACAGCCAGATAAAGAGGTACATAGGTCGAGAGATCTGAAAGGGTCCTGAGCGCAGGAGCATCTGTCCCTGTGGAGTTGAGGTGCTCCACTCTCCCAGCGTGTGGATATGTCTACCAACCCAGAAGCTCCCCGAATCCCATACTTTTGGGATTTTCATGGAGGCTTCATCGTGTAGGCATAATCAATCATTAACTTAATCTCAAGCCCCTCTCTCCTTCCCAGAGGATGGGAGGTGAGGCTGAAATTTCCTAGCTTCTTATTTTTTGTGTGTGTGTGTGAGGAAAATCAGCCCTGAGCTAACATCCATGCTAATCCTCCTCTTTTTGCTGAGGAAGACCGGCTCTGAGCTAACATCTATTGCCAATCCTCCTCGTTTTTTTTTTCCCCAAAGCCCCAGTAGATAGTTGTGTGTCATCCTTCTAGTTTCTGTATGTGGGAGGCAGCCTCAGCATGGCCAGAGAAGCGGTGCGTTGCTGTGAGCCCGGGATCCGAACCCGGGCCGCCAGTAGCGGAGCGCACGCACTTAACCGCTAAGCCATGGGGCCGGCCCCCCAAGCTTCTAATCACGGCTTGGTCTTTCTTATGACCAAGCCCCATCCTCAAGCCATCCAGGAGCCCACCAAGAGTCACCTCATTAGAACAAAAGATGCTCTGATCCCCCATCACTCAGGAAATTACAAGGGATTTAGGAGCTCCGTGTCAGGAACCGGGGGCAGAGACCAAATATATATTTCTTATTGTGTCACAGTACCAAAAATCAGTATTGTTGATTGATTTGAAATCAGACAATACAAAGAATGCAGAGTACCGGAAAAATTAGATTGGACATTTGGATTTAAGTGTCAGCATTCCCTTATACCCATTTTTGTTTTTGCAGTATTTTCTTCACTGAGCCTTGGCCTGCTTCCAGAACGATCTGCTACTCTCATGGTGTATGAAGATGTTGTACAAATAGTCTCAGGATTCCAAGGTATGTTGAGTATTTAAAAAGAGAAGTGACAATAATTTTGGGGCCAGCTACTAAAATCTTATGATGGATAGCTTATCGTCGGGTGGTGATGGCAATGAATTTACCCAGAGCTGGACATAACGTCTGTTGTCCCTCTGAGTGTGCAGCACATTTGAATTTTGGTTAAACTATCCATTGGCTGTGATCTTGTTTCTTATAGGCCCACTTAGCCTTTAAGTGTGTGGGAAAAAAGAAGGGCCTTCACTGCTTTGTGAAGCAGAGCCTCTCTGCTCTTCTCCAAAGGAGAGTATATTCACGTCATGGGCTCAGAGGGCCCCTGCCTGGGCCTCACCGACCAGGGTACAGGGTCACTCGTCAAAGTTCATAAGCATTCAAGGGTATAGAATTTCAGTTTTGCAAGATGAAAAGGTTCCAGGGATCTGTTGCACAATAATGTAAATATACTTAGCACTGCTGAACTGTACACCTAAAAATGGTTAAGGTGGTAAATTTAATATTATGTGCTTTTTACTACAATAAAAAAAAATCTGCCCTAAAAGAAGGTTCATGACATTCGAATGTGGCTTTTTCCTCTCTCATCCCCTCATTTTGTCAGCCCATGTCACATGCAGTGAGGTGTGTAAATGTGACCTCACCCTCTAACCTCTCTTGCAGAGACACTAGCACAGAAGACTTGAGGCATCTCCTCTTTGGTTGGTGTTGGGGTTAAAATTGAGAATAATGTTTGTGTCAAATGTAATTCTGTGCCGAGAAGATCAGTTTTCTTCCATCTAAATCATGGTATTGAGAATGATATTTCCTGGCTTTTAATACTTCATCAGATTAGTCTTCTATTTCCTTTATCCCTTCACTTTAATACCATTTTACGCTAATCATTCTCTGTGTAACCACACGCATGGGCATTGACAAATGAGGTGAACTCATTCATTCCTTTTTTATTGAGTGGCTGTGGGAACACGCAGAGGTGAAGATGCCGCCACTCCTCTTAGATGTGTTTGAAGAGAAAATAAGTAGAAGCGTCTAGCAGCATGTGTGACTGGAGTTGTGGAGAGAAAGCAGGAATAGATGTACAGATTTTGGTGTCATCTGCACAGTGAAAGCCATAAGTTATCTTTTTTCTCCCCCCTGAGGGAGAGCAGAGCTAGCCCTGAGTCCTCTGCATCCTTTCACATTAGAACCACACCCCAGCCTAAGCCCATTGGCCCTGGTACTTTCCAATTTTTCTTTAATTAGCTTTGCTATTACTGTTCCACAACTGAATGATAGTGATTTTTCCCCCCAGTTTTGAGATGTAATTGACATACAACATATTAGTTTCAGATGTCCAACATAACAATTGGATATTTGTATATATTGTGAAATGATCATCACAATAAGTCTAGTTAACATCCCTCACCACACATAGGTATGAATTTTTTTTTTCTTCTGATGAGAACTTTTAAGATCTACCCTCTTTTAGCAACTTTCATATATACAATACAGTATTGTTAACTATACTCCCCATGCGATACATTACCTCCCCAGGACTTATGTATCTTATAACTGGAAGTTTGTACCTTTGATCACCTTCACCCATTTCCCTCACCTTCCATCCCCTGCCACTGGCAACCACCAATCTGTTCTGGTTCTATGAGTTCAGGGTTTTTTTAGATTCTGAATATAAGTGAGATCATACACTCTTTATCTTTCTCTGTCTGACTTATTTCACTTAGCATAATGCCCTCGGGGTCCATCCATGTTGTTGCAGATGGCAGGGTTTCCTTCTTTTATATGGCTGAATAATATTCCATTATATGTATATATATACTGCATTTTCTATATCCGTTCATCCATTGATGGACATTTAGGTTGTTTCCATGTCTGGCTATTGTAAATAATACTGCAGTGAACATGGGGTACAATAGTGGTTTTCTTGAAATGAGGGAATGGTTATGCTTCGTTCTCGTGTTCTTCACTAAGACAGTAACCTTGCTGTCATTTCCACTGGGCTAAATTCTGATAAAGACCTTTGGTTGAAATGATAGCAGCAAGAGACTAACAGCTGTAATGAACGTCCCCGATACAGACAGGCTATGCTGGCCTGTTTGTGTCAGGGTATAGATTAGGATAGTCAGAGTATAATTCTGAGCTGACAGCAGCTCTTCAAATATCAGATGGAATGCACGAATCACCTGGCTGACTTCTTGTTGCCCTGGAGTTCGATATCCACTCAGCATTTCCTGAGGCCTGAGCACGTGGAGCCTGCCAGCTGCTCAGAACTGGCCGGGTTGGGACTCTGCTCATTCTCCTCAGATCTGTTGTCGCTGTGCCCGTATCCATGTGGCAGGGGGCTGGCGGTTATAAAACAGGGAGTTTGACCAACATGTCCCTGCCGCTGTATTTTGTGTTTTCTTTTTCGATAAGCCTTAAGAATCTTTTCTTTTTCACAGCTATGAATGTTTTTATTTTTTAATTTAAAAAACTGACTGCCTACTACATGTTACATGTTGTCCTCAGGGCTGCAGCCACTGTCACTTTCATCACCTGCTCAGGAATTGGAAGTGCTTCTCTTCCTTTTAACTGGTCCTTCTCCTCCGCCTACATTTTCCTCAAAGTTAGTTGTCATCTTACTAGCCCTCCTCATCCTTTGTGTTAGTTTTCTTCTGCTTTCTCTCAGTTGCCCATCCTTTCCTCGAGATGTTGGTCCACCAGCATACCCTTGGGTAGAAAGTTCTCAAGTAGCTGGGCAGCTGGGCCTCTGCGGTGCGGACCTGCCCCTGGGCCTTTAAAAGTGGAGAAGAGCCAGGCCGCAGGATACAGACTAGAAAGGGACATTGTCCAGTAGAACCAAACCCCCACCTTCCCAGAGCCTGCCCTTGCGTCCTCTGGGACTCAAATACACCTTCAGCGAACTCCCTTCCACCTCTTCTCTGAACATTGCCCCCTTCCTGGTCTGAAATGTCCCTGAGGCCACAGCCTTCCCTGCACCTTCTCAGGTGGGAGCTGAATTTTCACGCAGCAGGTCTCTCATTGCACCTCAGTAACACTTAAATTACCCCGCCTCCTTCCTCCTTCCATCACTGCAGCTCCCTAGAAGGTGTGGACCACTCGCCACCAGTCTCTTGGTCACCTTTCCTCCTGGACTCGCGACTTTAGCTCCTGGTTCCCCGGTTCACGCTGCTCCTGTAATTGTTTCTTGGGAATGTTGGCATCCATATGGGTGATGCCCACCTGGTCGCCCGGCTGTTCTTCCACTCCGGGGGTGCTTTTCCTCTACCCCTCATTAATCACCCACTTCCACAGTCACTCCCTAGACCTCCTCATTCCAGCAAATGCACCCTCCAGGCGCAGCCAGCACCTTCCCTCCTCCCACCCCATTGCCACAGCTCACACACCACTGAGGGCTCCAGTGCCCTGACCCACCACATCCTTACCATCAGGATTGCCTCCCTCGCCCGCCTAGGCACCATGGCCCCCTTGCGGACACCTTGAACAATCTTGCTCCTGTGTCCCTCTGCCATCTCCCCTGACTAAATAACTTCTGACCCTGGTTGACCTCAGCCACTCATGGCCACATCAGAACAGCTGCATGTGGCTGGAGGAAACCTCACAGTTGCATCAACTCATTGCACATCTGGTCGTGACCACAGACCTCAAGTGGGCATCAGCCCTACAGGACAGAGGATACTTCCTGGTAATTTATTTTCTGACTCTGCAAGATGTCTGCACTGTCTCCTATCTTCTAACTTCCTGTGTGCACACTCACATGCACGCACTCACATTCTCTCTCTCAGCTAATGACATCTCTGCATACTTCATTGAGAAACCGAGAACCTTCGCCTTCCCACCCAAATCCCCAGCCCTGCCCTCTGCTCCTTGCTGCCCTGGAAGAAGTGTCCTGTTCATTACATGCCAGTCCTTCCGTTTGTGCTCTGCATCCCATCTCTCCATCTCCATAGTTTTTCCCTCTCTCTCCTGCACCACCCTTTCCTCCCACTCTGTTGTGGGCAAGTGTAAAAGTTTGTGCATCTCTGGAAAGTGCTTCCCTGACTGTACTCTGTTCCAGCCACTGCCCTGTTTCTCTGCTGTGCTTGTGGGAGGCTTGTCTGCACTCCCCGCTCTGCTTTCTCATCTCTCGTTCCCTCTCCCACACACTCTGATGTGGGTTCCTTCCTCGTTGCTCCATACCAACTGCCTGGTCAGAGTCTCTTACAGCCCCCTGCAGCCAAAGCCAAGGACATTTCTCTCTTCGTCTCCCTGGACCTCCCCACAGCATTCAGCAGAGACGAGTGGTCACTCTCTCTTGAGACTTTCCTCCCTTCACTTCCATGACATCGTGTCCTGATTTTCTTCCTGTCTCGTGGTCACTTCTCTGGACACTCCAGTGACTGTCCTGGGCCTGCGTTCTTCTTTCTGGTACTCTCCCTAGAAGGCCTCACAGACCCGTGGCTATAATGCTCCCTGGACACGGAACACTCCCAATTTCTTATCTCCAGCCCAGTCTCTCCCCCTGCGATGGAGGCTCGGAGCTGGCTGCGTGTTTGACCTTTCCACTTGGATGTCTGATGGGCATCTCAGACTTACCATATACACACACAACTCTTGATCTCAATAAATGGTGTAAACAATGGCCTAAGTGCTTCCAGCCAACACTCTAGGAATTATCCCTGATTCCTCTCTCCTCACGTCTGGTTCTCTGGCAGAGCCTCTTGTCTCCCTCTGTGGCCACCTCACAAATCCAGGACACCACCGTTCCCCCGAGAGAACTACAGGAGGTTGTTAGCTGGTTGTCCCATTCCTGCCCTTGCCAGCCCCTCGTCTAGTCTTCACAAAGTGAGAGCAATCAAGTCGGCTTGCTTCCGTTCTTCAGTGGTTTTCCCTTTGTCCTTGGAATAAAATCCCAGCTGCTTACACGCAGGGCTGGACAGTCTGTCGGCCCTGAACCTCTGGTGGCTGCCGCAATTGTCTGGAAGGTAGCTGTTGGTAAGAAGGGCTGGAGGTGGCAGTGTTTATACACACAG